CCCCCGTCCCACCACCTCTCCTCACGCCCGCCCCGCCCTCAGTCCGAGCGGCTCTCGGCCACTTGCCTTCACCTCCGTCTTCAGACCCAGCCGCCCCGCGCCGCCTCCCGTCACGTCTGCCCAACCGCCCGCCTTCCTGAGCCAGGGCCCCGCCCCTAAGCGGCGAGTCGTCTCATGACGTCCCTTGGGCCCGGCGTCGGGGACCCCTCCCCTCTCTGTCGGGATGAATTTTCTGGAAGTTCCCCAGAAACTTTTCTGGAAGCTTCTGGAAGTGACTGCGTCAAGGGACGCATCGGTCCTCAGCCCCACTGTCGTCCTCATTGACCCGTTCCCCGCGGTGGTAAACCGCCCCTCGACTCCCCTGCGCGAGCCCCAAGGCCATGTCGGGGAAACGTCCCCGCGCGCGTCAGGAAACCCCACTGTCTTCACCTCACATCCTGCTAACTGCCTCGCAGTGCGGGCAAAAGTCACGACCGTCCCCGAACACACCTAGAAGGGAAGAAACCTTCAGGAAAACTCCAGGAATCACAGAAACCACCTTCAGACGAGGGTGGTTACCAAAACATTTTCCACCTAGCTTGAGCTCGAGAGCCTGTTCCCTCGGAACATGAGCCAAGGATTTCTGCATCTGCAGCCAACAGAAAATGCTCCCTGGAGGGCTGTTCTTTTCCTCCGTCCACTCGCTGAACTGGACTGAGCGAGGAGCAGAACCCCAGGACACACTCTACCTCGGACCTGCCGCTGTGGAACACCCAGGTGAACCACACAAACCCTGTAGAGCCTCCGTTTCTCATCGGTCAAAAGAGGGTGATTGCGAGAAAGCATGAAAGAGAGCGTGAATGATGCCTGTTGGCAGTGTGGTCACCCACTTAGCAAACCTGAACTGCTCCTGTCCCTGGGTTTGGTGCTTGGACAGCTATGATGGGGAGAGGGTCCTGCCTGGTGGTGGGTGCAGAAGGGATAGGGCAGGTGTTCTGCTTGCTGGTGGGCCTTGAAGGGGAAGGTGGAGCCCCTGGGGAAGAGGCTGCAGAAGGAGCAGGCACTCAATAAATACATGCTGATTTATTATAGGGATGAGAGTTTTCTCTGGGGATAAATTCAGTAGGTCGTGCGAACATTTTATTCATTTGCAATGTCCCTTCCCTGGCAGCCAAGGCAGCAAGATTTATGACAAGTTAAAATCATCCCCTATTTAAAAAAAAAAAAAAAGTTCCCCCTAGCAGTTCTGGGTGGGTGGGGATAGAATTAAAAATAAAAGAAACAGAAAGACTTCACAGTGATTTCTAATTGTTATACAGAAGCTTGGGAAGGGGTTTCCACCAGTTTCATGAGGAAGGTGCAACTTCCGCGTAGTGCTGGGGGAAAAGGGCAGTACGGCCTATGCAGGCTGGCCCCCTAGCCCACAGACGCCAAGATGATGTCTACTGGCAGCTCCTCCGAACTTCTTGCTGTCACCTGCATGGTCACTGTGTCCAAAAGCAGCAGCCGGGAGCGCACCAGAATGTCATAACCACCCCGGAACACACCTAGAAGGGGAGAGAGAAGTACAGGTGTATAAAGCAGAAGGGGCTGTAGAGCCCGGGCTGTGTAGCCAATCAAGGCAGCTCTGGTGTACTGAAATGGGCAGGAGAGCTGGGCTAAAATCTCTGAATGAGGCCTGTGCAAGTCACTTTACCTCTCTGAGCTTCAGTATTTCAGGCTTTTGCCAACCTCAAATGAATTAATAAACATGTAAAGCTTGTATCTCATATTGCAGAGGCTCTCACACGTGTTGGCTGAATCTGAGAGCAGCTAAAGGGACAGCCCCACCTTGACAAAACTGCATAGCAGGTGTCTGCAAGACCCAAGGGACTGGGTTACTTCAGTGTGGTCGGAAACTATGGGCTTGGGGGCTATCAGCTGTGAGCAGGGTACTGAAGCAGAGTATCCTCCCAACTGTTTATAAAAACTCAGCCAAAAAAAAAAGCCATTTCCTTTGGTTGTTTAAGGTCCCCTCTCCCCCACTTTTTTAAACATAGGGTCATTATCTCTTAGAGAAACATACAGATGCAGAAGATTTACATATAAAATGCTATATCTGAATTTCCTTAAATAATGGTGGTAAGGGTGGGGGTGGAAATGAGTATGCTCACAGATGTTGCTAGTTGTTGAAGCTGGAAGACGAGCATGTGGGACTCCTTATTCTATTCAATTTTTGTGTATGTTTGAAATTTTCCATGACAAAATCTTTACATACCCATTCCTATTAAAAAAGACCAACCAGGGCCAGCCCATGGCTCACTTGGGAGAGTGTGGTGCTGATAACACCAAGGCCACGGGTTCAGCTCCCTATATAGGGATAGCTGGTTAGCTCACTTCGGAGAGCGTGGTGCTGACAACACCAAGTCAAGGGTTAAGATCCCCTTACCGATCATCTTTAAAAAAAAAGACCAACCAACCCAGTGAAAATTAGACAGAGGATATGAAAACAATTCACAGAAAAGGAAATATAAATGGCATTTCAACATTTGAGAAGATACTTAACTTCATTCAAAATATAAGAAAGGTGAATTAAAACTACACTAAGATACCATTTTTCACCCAGGCTGGCAAAGATCATAAAGTCTGATAACATACTGTATCCAGAGTGTGGAAGGAAAGGCATACAGTTCCTATGGAAGGCAATTTGGAATTATTACCAAAATGAGAAATGCAAATTACTTTGACCTGGTAATGCTTTGGGAATTCATCCTATAGATATTCTCAGTGCACACATGCAAAATAAAGTGTGTGTATAGTGATTATTTACTGTAGCACTGTAATAGCAAGACTGGAGACAACCTAGATGTTCATCAGTAGGGGCTGGTTCTATAAAATATGTTACATCCATACAATGAGGTACTACACAGCTATAAAAGAAATGAGGATTAGTTTGGGATGATAAAAAAGTTCTAGAGGTGGATGGTGGTGACACTTGCACAACAATGTGAATATACTTAATACCACTGAATTGTACACTTAAAAATTGTTGAAATGGAAAAGTTTGTTATGTATGTTTTACCACAATTAAAAGAAAAAAAGAATGAGGAAGCTCTACATATTGACAGGGAATATCTCCAAGATGCATTGTAAAGTGAAAGCAACATGCAGAACAATGTGTACACCATTTATGCATTAGCATTTGAGTTAAAAAGGGAAATGTTTCCTCTTAACTTTTACAGCCATAAAATAACGAGAAGGACATACAGGCATTGCTTGTAATAGTAACTAACATTGGTTGCCTGTTGGAAGGGAAACTAGATGGCTGGCAGCAAGGAGAGGGGGATATTTCATTGCAGATATTTTCATACTTCGTGGATTTTAAACACCGTGAATTTTGATTCCCCATGTTCCCAGTGGAGTCCTCAGCCCAGGAACCAGTGGCATCCAGGCTGTAAGACGAACCCAGGCCCTCCCCACTTGGAAATGCTGCTTACCAGCCAGGAGCAACGTGTGCGTGTTCTTGTTATCCGGGACTTTGTCTGACCTCTCACAAGGGTGCATTCCCAAGAACTTCACAATATTGCCCACAGCCTCTGTATGGAGAAATCCCATTATCATTAAGCTATATGAGGATACTTCAAAAAGTTCATGGAAAAATGGAATTAAAAGATAATAAACCTTTTCTATGAACTTTTTGAAGTACCCTCATATATTTTGTCTCCCCTTTGTGCCACCACCACTTCCCCATGCTCTGAAGGCCTTTTAATGAAGTGGCGTTTGACCTATGTGCTCTAGACATAGCCCTGGATCCTTGGAGGGAAAATGGTAGGAGCACTCCAACAGTAGCCAAGGGTCTTGAGAGGCAAGCAGGCAAGAGAAGCATCTCCAGGATTTTACCTTCAAGTGTCTTGATGGTAGACAAGGTGAACGTTTCCTC